GTCCCAGTGCCCCTGGGACGCGAGGACAGACCCAAGCCCAAGAAGGTGCCACGGACGAGGACGCAAACAGCTGCCTTTGCCGCTCCAAACCTCTGCTCTGCGACGAGGCCCCTTTTCCCCTAATTCGATCGCCAGTTGGTTGAGGATCCAATGCATAGGTCCAGGAAATTCAGAACGGTCCGCAAGGCGCGGAACTGACCCAAACTGTCGCGGAAAAACTGCAGCACCCTCAGTCCCCAAACGGAAGTGCCCGCGACTCCACTGAGTGTTTGGACTCCACTTCCCAGAATTCCCCGGGACCCGCCAGCCGGAGCCAAACTGACCGCTACTCCACTGAGCGTCTGGACTACACTTCCCAGAATTCCCTGGGACCCGCCTGCCGTAGCTAAACTGACCGCGATTTCACTGAGAGTCTGGACTGTACTCCTGCAGCATCACCCTCCAGGGGAAGTGTTGACGACTACTAGGAAGCCCTTGACTACTCTTCCCACCGGGAATGAATCCCATATCCCCGAGCGCCTGTTGGGAAATGTGGACTACCTTGAGAGTCGTCCTTCCTTTCCTCTCCCTGGGTGCCCAAGAGAAAATATCGTATAGAAAGGAATTCCTGAAGTCTAAACGCCTCTAGTGATGACAGGAGGGTTACTGGAAAGGGACCAAGCGAGATGATACAATCATAAAATAATTAAGTTTTGCCAGTGGTAAGAAATGGCATGTAGTTTTAATTTAAATCTCTTGTAAACAAAATGGAATATTCTTGCATATTTTCAGGTGTCATTATTACAGTTTTTGTAAATTGTCCAGATGTTTTGCCCACTTTTTTATTTTTTGGTTTTATCCCTCACTTTTCAAGCACTGTTTTTATATTCATGATATTAACATTTTATCTCGCAAAGATTTTCTCAACAAAAACGTTTGTTTTTTTCTTTCTTATCTATGCGAAACATTTTAACGTATTTTATTATTTAAAACATCTCTATTGAGGTGTAATGCACAAAACGTGAAAGTCACCAAAAGTTAGGAAACATTTTCATCACCCCAAAGACCCCATACCCACTAAGCAATCTCTGTCCTATTGAATTACCTATTGTGGACATTTCATGTAAATGGAATTATAAACTATGGAACCTTTTGTTTCTGACCCCTTTCACTTAGCATACTGCTTTTGTTTGTTTGTTTTTGTTTTGTTTTTTGAGACTCACTCTGTGGCCAGGCTGGAATGCAGTGGCGCGATCTTAGCTCACTGCAACCTCCGCCTCCCGGGTTCAAGCGATTCTCCCGCCTCAGCCTCCAGAGTAGCTGGAACTACAGGCGCGTGCCACCACGCCGGCTAATTTTTCTGTATTTTTAGTAAAGACGGGATTTCACCGTGTTAGCCAGGATGGTCTCGATCTCTTGACCTCGTGATCCACCCGCCTCGGCCTCCCAAAGTGCTGGGATTACAGGCGTGGGCCACCGCACCCGGCCAGCATACTGCTTTTAAAGTTCATCCACATCACAGCATGTACCAGTACTTCATAATATTTTATATTTACGCTACGATTTGTTTTTTTGTTTGTTTGCTTTATCATGTTTTGTTTTGAGACGGAGTTTCCCTCTTGATGCCCAGGCTGGAGTGCAATGGCATGATCTCAGCTCACTGCAACCTCCGCCTCCTGGGTTAAAACGATTATTCTGCCTCAACCTCCCAAGTAGCTGGGATTACAGCTATGTGCCACCATACCCGGCTAATTTTTTTGTATTTAGTAGAGACAGGGTTTCACCATGTTACTCAGGCTAGTCTCGAACTCCTGACCTCAGGTGATCCACCCACCTCAGCCTCCCAAAGTGCTGGGATTACAGGCCTGTGCCACTGTTTATCCATCCATTCATTGAGGGACATTTGGGTTATTTCCACCTTTTGGCAGTAGTCAATAGTGTTGCTACGAACAGTGGCATACAAGTATTTCTTTCATCACCTGCTTTCAGTTATTTTGGGTATACACCTAGATATGAAATTTAGTGATTCGTATGGTAATTCCGTGTTGGGAACCACAAAACAATTTTCCACAGCAACTGCACCGTTTTTACACTCCCACCTTCAGTGTGTGAGGGTAGTAATTTCTCCACATCCTCTCCAATACTTATTTTGTGTGTGTGTGTGTGTGTGTGTGTGTATATGTACAAAATATATATGTATATGTATATGTATATGTGTGTATGTATAAATTGGAAACGGGGTCTCCCTGTGTTGTGCAGGCGGAATTCCAGTGGCTATTCACAGGCAACATCTCACTACTGATCAGCATGGGAGTTTTGACCTGCTGTGTTTCCACCCTGGACCAGTTTACCTCTCCTGAGGCAACCTCATGGTCCTCTGCTCCTGGGAGGTCACCATGTTGATGGTGGACACCCAGTGGGCATAGCTTACTACACCTCAAAACTCCTGGGCTCAAGCGATCCTCCTACTTCAGCCTCCCAAGTAGCTGGGACTACAGGTGCCTGCCACCACATCGGCTATTTTCTGTTTTTAAAGATGATAGCCAACATAGCTGTTTTAAAATGGTATCTCATTATTGGTTTGATTCGCATTTTCCTAATGACTAATAGTTGAGCATCTTTTCACACGATTGTTGGTAACTTATATATCTGAAATTTCTATTTGTATCTTTGCCCATTCGAAAATTGAATGATTTCTCTTCTTGTTATTGAGTTGTAAGAGTTCTTTTTTTTTTTTTTCTTTTTCTTTTTCTTCCTCTTTCTAAGAGATGGAGTCTCTCTTTGTTGCCCAGGCTGGAGTGCAATGGCACATCATGCCTTGCTGCAGCCTTGACCTCCCAGGCTCAAGCGATCCTTCTGCTTCAGCTCCCGAGTAGTTGGGACCACAGGTGTGGGCCACTATGCCTGGCTGCTTTTTGCATTTATTTTTTCATTTTTGTAGAGACATGGTTTTCACCATGTTGCCCAGGCAGGCCTCAAACTCCTGGGCTCAAGCAATCCACCCATCTCAGCCTTCCAAAGTGCTGGGATTATAGGTGAGAGCCACCTCACCTGGTCTAATATATATAATATATATAATATATATATTCTGATACTAGACACCATGCTGTATGGTCTTTTCATGCTCTTGACAATGTCTCTGTATGCAAAGCATTTTTTTGCTCTAGTCCAATTTATGTGGGCTTTTCTTAGCTTGTGCATATGGTGTCTTATCTAAGAATCTATTCCAAATAAAAAGCCTTAAAGATGAACTTTTATGTTTTATTCTAGGAGTGGCATAGCTTAAGCTCTTTTATTTAGGTCATTGATCATTTTGAGTTAATTTTTAGGTATAGCGTGAAGTGTGGATCTAACTTCATTATGTTGCATATGTATATATAGTTGCCCAGCACTGTTTGCTAAAGAGACTACGCTTTCTCCATTAAGCCATCTTGGATCTTTCTTGAAAATCAAGTTACTTTAGATGTATGGGTTTCTTTAGGGACTCTCAATTCTATTCCATTACTATAGCTTGATAGTAAGTTTCGAAATGGGGAAGTGGGAGCCACCCATCGTGTTCCTTTAAAAAAAAAAAAAAAGATGTCTATTTGCATCCATTGCAATTACATATGAATTTATTTCTGCAAAAAAAGACTGTTTGGATTTTGATAGTGATTGCAGTAAAACTGTAGATTGGTTTGGATAGTATTGTCATCATAAAAACGTGAAGTTGCCAATCCATGAATGCCTAGATAATAAGTGAATTCAGCATGATCATAGGATACATTATCAGCATACCAAAATTAATTTATATATATTATACTAGCAATGAACAAATGGAAATCAAAGTTCTTACCTAGATGGAAGTTCAACAAAAGATGTACAAGGGTTGTAAGATGAAAATTACAACACACTGATGAAGAAAATCCAACAATATTAAATGAATGGAGAGATATTCCATGTTTGAGGATCATGGGACTCAATACAGCAAAAATGTTCATTCTCTCCAAATTGATACACAGGGTTAAAATAATTACTATCAAAATCACAGCAAGATATTCTGTAGATATAAAACTATTCTAAAATTTATATGGAAAGGCAAAGGAACTAGAATGTGAGTATGGTTAGGGTTGTCTTCACAGTTGAAAATCTTTCATTTCTGGAGACATTATAGGGGAGACACTCTGTAAAAAGCTGGTCTCGAACTCCTAGATTCAAGTGATCCTTCTGCCTCAGCCTCCCAAAGTGACAGAATTAAAAGTGTGAGCCACCACGCCTGGCCACTTACAAGAGACTTACAAAAGTGAGTCACTAAATGATTAAAGTAAAAATCAACAAATTTCCTTGAAAAATGCCCTGTATAAATGTGATTATTGTATTTTCGGCTTCGGTTTGATTTTACATCACCATCAAAATCAAGGAGCACATAAAAGAAAGCAAGTTTGTTTACTTTTATTTTTATTTTTATTTTTTGAGACGGAGTCTCGCTCTGTCGCCCAGGGTGGAGTGCAGTGGCGCAATCTCAGCTCACTGCAACCTCCACCTCCCTGGTTCAAGCAGTTACCTTGTCTCTGCCTCCTGAGTAGCTGGGCTTATGGGCGCATGCCACCACCACACCCAGCTAAATTTTTTGTATTTTTAATAGAGACAGGGTTTCACCATGTTGGCCAGACTGGACTCAAACTCCTGATCTCAGGCAATCTGCCCACCTCAGCCTCCCAAAGTGCTGGGATTACAGGCATGAGCTACCAAGCCCAGCCGAAAGCAAGCTTATTATGCTCACTTTGGCACTGGAGAAGACCTCTCATAACCAGCAGACAATTTTCTCAGAAAACCTATGTGTAATGAATGTGGACAAGGATTCAGTGATGGCTCTAGAGTTGAAATTCATCACTAACTAGATTTAGGAGACAGCCCCAATATCTTTAATAAAATATATTGGGCTTTAACGATAGCTGAGTTTTTCCCATTCATGAGTTTTCATCTGTAAGCCCATCACCTTGTCAGTGTTGGAAACTTCAGAAATGTGACGCACCTTCAGATGGATTAAAGTCTTCATGTTTATTAAGGAGTCCATGACAATGCTACATCTTTTACAGGTAATGAGTATGGTTACGGTTGTCTTCACAGCTGAAAGCCTTTCATTTAACCAGAGACATTACAGGGGAGACACTATAAAAAGTAAGTGCTTTAAATATTCCTGCTTATGTTATATTCATCTTTATGCCAATATTTTTATGCTGTCCAATTCATCAGATTTTCTTTCTTGTTTAGTGATATTCCCCCCAAAAATACTAGCCTTCCCAAGTTAGTGGAAACAATGTACTATTTTGTTGACAGAAACTAAAGAAGATCAGTCAGGGGTGGTGGTCCATGCCTATAGTCCCAGCTTCTCAGGGGGTTAAAGCAAGAGGATCACTTAGTCCCAGGAGTTCGAGGCTACAGGGCACTGTAAATGCATCTGTGAATAAACAATCCAGCCTGGGCAACACAGAGAGACCTCATCTCAAAAACAAAACAAAACAAAACAAAACAAAATGCTGGGCGCAGTGGCTTATGCCTGTAATCCCAGCACTTTGGGAGGCTGAGGAGGGAGAGTCACTTGAGCCCAGGAGTTTGAGACTAATTTGGGCAACATAGTGAGACCCCATCTCTACAACAAAAATTTAGCCGGGCGTGTTGTTGCATGCCTATAGTCCCAGCTTTTGAGGGGCTGAGGCAGAAGCATTTCTTGAGCCTGGGAGGTCAATGCTGCAGGGAGCCCTGATCATTCCACTGCATGCTAGTCTGGGTGACAGAGCAAGACTGTCTCAAAAGAAAAAAAAAAAAAGCCAAGTCTTGCCTAATAATGGTCAGAGTTTATAGAGGTACAACCAGTTTGAAATAGTTTTTGGAAGTATCTACTAAAATTAACATATTCATACCTTATAACTCTTTGCTGTCACATACATCATATTATTTAAGGTTCCTCTACAGAATAGGCACTGAATTTGAAGATGTGAGCCCTGACTGAAGTATGTACCACACTCTCCACACATCCATGGTGTTCCTCCAGTGTAGATCCTCTTATGCATATTAAGATTCAAGTGATCCAGCAATCCCACTATTAGCTGTATATCCAAAGGAAAGGAAATTCGTGTGTTGAACTCCTATCTGTACTCCTATATTTATTATAGTACTATTTGCAATAGCTAACGTATGGAACAATTCTAAATATTCATCAACAGAAAATGGTAAAGAAAATGTGGCATACATACACAAAGGTACACTATTTAACCATAAAAAATAATAAAATGCTGTCATTTATGGCAAGGTAAAGATAAGCTTTGGAGAACATGAAGCTGAGTGATGTAAATTCAGGCCCAGATAGACAAATACTACAGGTTATCACACATATGTGGAAGTCTGGGCAACAGAGCAAGACTATTCTCAAAAATCACAGAAGCAGCATAGCATTGGCCAGGCATGGTGGCTCATGCCTGTAATCCCAGCACTTTGGGAGGCCAAGGCAGGTAGACCATTTGAGGTTGGGAGTTCAAGACTAGCCTGGCCAACATGGTGAAACCCAGTCTCTACTAAAAATACAAAAATTAGGCTGGGCATGGTGGCTGACGCCTGTAATCCCAGCACTTTGGGAGGCTGAGGTGGGGGGATCACCTGAAGTCAGGAGTTCGAGACCAGCTTGGCCAATATGGCAAAAACTCATTCCCTACTAAAAATACAAAAATTAACCGATTGTGGTGGTGGCCACCTGTAGTCCCAGCTACTCGGGAGGCCAAGGCAGGGAGAATCATTTGAACATGGGAGGCAGAGGTTGCAGTGAGCCGAGATCATGCCATTAGACTCCAGACTGGGCGACGGAGTGATACTCCATCTCAAAAAAAAAAAAAAGTACCAAAATTAGCTGGGCATGGTGGTGCATGCCTGTAATCCCAGCTACTCAGGAGGTTTAGGCAGGAGAATCACTTCAACCCAGGAGGTGGAGGCTGCAGTGAGCCAGGATCATGCCACTACATTCAAGCCGGGGCAACAGAGCAAGACTCTGTTCTCAAAAAAAAAATAAAAATAAAAATAAAAAAGGAGAAGCAGTGTGGCATAGCAATTACTAGAAGGGAAAAGTAGGAGGGGGGGTGGATGATGAAAGATTGGTTAACAGATACAAAAGTACAGTAAGATGAAAGGAACAAGTTCTAGTGTTCCACAGCACTAAAGGTGACTATAATTAATAATAATTTATTTTCAAATAACTAGAACAGTTTTTGAAGGTTCAAAACACAAAGAAATGATAAATGATCAACACAAATGATAAATGAGGTGATGGATATGCTAATGACACTGATTTGATCATTACACATTGTATACATGTATTGAAATATCATGCTGTAACCCATAAATATGGACAATAATTATATGTCATTTAAAAATAATGATAAAATCATATCGAGATTCAAGCGCCTCTTGTAGCGCTTCCCACAGTCCTCACATTTAGATGTTTTTTCTCCACTGTGGTCTCTTTGTTGGTCTTGAAGGCATGAACTGTGCACAATGCTCTTCCCACAGTCCTCACATTGAAGTACTTTTTCTCTACTGTGGAGTCTCTGATGGGTTAGATGAGTTGAGGCCCATCTGAAGCCCTTTCCACACTCCTCACATTTGTAAGGCTTTTCTCCAGTGTGAATTCTTTGATGGAAACGAAGTTTTGAATTCTCAGTAAACCTCTTCCCACACTCTTCACATTTGAATGGTTTTTCTCCAGTATGGAGTCTCTTATGTCTCAAAATACCTGAGGCCCACCTGAAGCTCTTTCCACATTCCTTACAATTATAAGGTCTCTCTCCCGTGTGGACCCTCTGGTGCGAGTCAAGATTAAACTTACTAATGTAGCCCTTCCCACACTTCTGACATTTATACAGTTTTTCTCCTCTGTGGGCTGTCTGATGAGAATGGCCCCGTGAATTCATATGAAATCTCTTCCCACATCCATCGCACTTGAATGTTGCTTCTCCACTGTGGATCCGCTGATGTCTCGAAAGACGTGAGGACCACCTGAAGCTCTTCCCACATATGTTACAGTTATATGGTTTGTCTCCTGTATGGTCCATCTGATGCTTACAGAGATCTTGCCTACAAGTGAAGCTCCTTCCACATTCTTCACATTTGTATAGCTTCTCTCCTGTGTGGTCCCTGCAATGACCATTAAGTGCTGATCTCTGACCAAAGCTATTACTGCAGGTATCACATCTGAATGATTTCTCTTGCATGTGGACCATGGAATGCCTATTAAGATTTGATCTACTATGGAAGCTCTTACCACATATATAACATTTGAATGGCTTCTCCCCAGTATGGATTCTTTGATGTTCCCGAAGCTGGGAATTGTGAATGAAGGCCTTCCCACATTCCTCACAAATATGAGGTTTTTCTCCTGTGTGTGATTTGCAATGAACATACATTCCTGATCTACGGCTGAAACTTTTCCCACACTGCTCACATTTGAATGGTTTCTCTCCAGTGTGGATTCTCTGATGAGTTTGCAGTTGTGAGTTCTGACTAAATTCCTTACTACACACATCACACTTATAGAGTTTCTTTCCCATGTGAACTTTCTGATGAAGAGCTGAGCTGTAACAGAAGCTCTTCCTGTACTCATTACATGTATGGGACATCTTTCCTGAGTGTAATTGTTGATGAAGATCAAGGATGGTGACATCACTGAAGAATTTTTTACACTTCCCATCCTCAGAAGGTGTCTGTCCTATGTGAATTATAGATAGTCCTGCGTCAACCTGGGAGGGGACGTCACCTTGTGTGGAGAACTGAGAGCTACTTATCATGGAGTCTTGAGGCCTAGTTAACTCACTTGCAGTTTGTTCCCAGACTTGCTGGCAAGACCACTCTTCATGTGGTCCTGTTTCTGGCACAGACTCCAACTCAGTTTGGATCTTGCCTCCTATAAGGACACAGAATTAAGAGGTGTGGGTAAGTGAAGCCTTTGTTCAGTGTTTTCAGGATTTCACTTAGGACATGGCCTGAAACTTTACTGAATACAAGGAAGGCACAGTTTGTGTTTTCCAAGTGCACCACGGTCTCTTGTCACGAAACCAGTTTGAACTACATAATGTCTCATACGTGGTAGAAAGACTTAATTTAAAATAGTAATATAATACAGTTAACTTGTTACTATTTCTACCAATTTCCTAGTTAGTCTAAAATCTTGCATGGTATATTATGTAACTACTAAATTATATATGTGATGAATCAGAAGGAACTTTAAGGGTAGGAAGACTTCAAGATGGCTGACTAAAGACACCCAGAGCTTGCCTCCTCCACAAAGAGCCAAAATAATGAGCGGTGCTCACTTCAGCAGCGCATATGGTAAAACTGGAATGAACAGCCTCTGCGCAAGGCTGATATGCAAATTCATGAAGTGTTCTATATATTTTATTAGTAAAAAATTTAAAAAGCAAATAGATAATCATACATCAAATAGCATCTAAGAGGGATCATTGGAATTCAGCAGAGAAGTGACAGGAAACACCCGAAGCACAAAAGGAGAGCGAAGGGAGGTAGCCCTTCTAGCCGTGATCACCTGAAAGCCGGAAGGGCTCCTCAGTGCTGGGAAAGGGTAAGTGAGAGGCCCCAGTGGTTTACATTTCCACTGCGGACTCCAGCAGGCAGCCATGAGAGACGCCCTCGACCCCTGCGGGCCCTGAGACTAGTGGAGGGGGCTACCTGGAGTCCACGCAAGGGCACTGCTTCAGAGAAGGCGCTCATGATGGGTTCCACACACTTCCTGAGACTCAAGCAGTTATGGCACAGCGCTATTTTGAGAGCCGCACCCCCACCAGACTGCATCTTGCCCTGGGGCCCAACAGCCCTTGCATCTCCAAATCCCTGGAGCCCCATCGACATGTCCCCACAGCCACCCGGAGGGTTGCAATAGTGCAATGCCTGTTAGACCCAGCAGTACGGCACAGTCCCCAGCAATCTAGGCCACATAGTGTCCTATTCTCTGGCGAATGGGCAGTGCAGCACACCAGGGAGTCTGCCCCCAATACAGTACAAAAGGACCCAAAGTGTGCACTCACCAGAGCTTGAAAGCTGCCTGTCTGGGGCTGCTGCCTCTAACAGCAACGCTCCCTCACCCCCAGCAGCAGGGCCACTGTACACTTACATGTGTTCTCACTCTGAGGAAAGGCTCTCCGCACACTCTGCCACTGCCACCCAAGCACACCTCCTAAAGGCTTGGGGAACCCCTTGCACTGCCCACCACAACCTGTGCCCGTGCACAGGACAAGCCCACTTCACTTGGTGCCACCCATCTCAGTGCCAAAGCATGACATAGAGGGACCTGGGGATTGCTCCACCCTGTGTTGCCTCAGGCACACGTGTGCACAAACAGAAGACCTGACAAAGACCCAGCTTGTGTGCTGGCAGTGCTGGAGCATGCCATCTAGGGGCCCAGGGATCACGCCGCCTCTTCCACCACAGCCTACATCTGCCCGCGCCACTGAAAGGCCTGAGGACAGGCTCACCTGGCCTGGCGTCATGCCTCCACTACCCAAGCATACCACTTGGGGCTACTGAGATCACCCTGCCATGTTGGTTGCCCCAGGCATGAGCATGTACCATGGAGGGAGCCTTACAACAGACCCAGAACCCTGCCGCAGGTGCCCAAGCCTGCTGTCCGGAGGCCTAAGGATTTCCCTGCCCTGATCACCACCACTGGCATCTGTGCACTCCTCCTAGTGACCTGAGGAAAGGTCCTACAAACCTGCTACCACCACCACCGCTGATACTCCCCTGCACACACCATGGGGGGCCTCAGGACTGGCCCACCCAGCCCATCACCACTACCTCTAACACCAGTGCACACAGCCTGGAAACCTGAGGGTTATCCTGCCACCACTGTTGGGTACTGTGCTCAGTACCTGGGTGCCAGGATCATTTGCAACGCAGACCTCAGCACCACACAATATACCTAGGTAAGAAACCTGCACATGTACCTCCTGAATCTTAAAATAAAAATTGAACAGCTGAAAGTCCTCCTTTTAAGACATTCTATTACAGTGGGTAGAGACGACAGCTAAATAGAAATATATAAAACACAGTATAAGGCAATACCAGAAGGGTAAAGATAGGATGGTATTCCATTCTTTTTTCTTCCTTTCTCCCTTTCTCGCCCACCCCTCCCTCTCCCTCCTTTCCTCCCTCCCTCCCTCCCTCTTTCTTTCTTTCTTGAGATACAGTCTCACTCTGTCACCCAGGCTACAGCGTAGTGGCACAACCCCAGCTCACTGCAACCTCTGCCTCCTGGGTTCAAGTGATTCTTGTGCCTCAGCCACCCAAGTAGCTGGGATTACAGGACTGTGCTACCACACCCAGCTAATTTTTGTATTTTTAGTAGAGTCAGAGTTTCGCCATGCTTGCCAGGCTAGTCTCAAACTCCTGATCTCATTCTATCTGCCTGCCTCAGCCTCCCAAAGTGCTGAGATTACAGGTGTAAGCCACCACACCCAGCTGGTATTTTAAATAGAGTGGTCAGAGAAGGCCTTTCTCATGATACTAAAACTGAACAGAGACCAGAATAAAGGAAGGGTCAGAAGGGTTTGAGGTGAAAGATTATTCCAATCAGAAAGAAAAGCATATATAAACTCTTAAGACAGAAGCTTCTGTAGTAGACAGAACGATGGTCCTTGAAAGATGTCCACATCCAATTCCCAGGACCTATGAATCTGTTACGTTATACAGCAAGAGATTAAGGCTGCAGATGCAATTAAGATCACTAGTCAGCTAAACAGAGAGTAGGAAGATCATTCTAGATTATGCAGGAGTGACCGATCCAATCACAAGGGACCTAAAAGGTGAAAAACAGAGGCTTAAGAAGGGTGGTGGCATGACTATGGAAGAATGGTCGGGGATGCAATGTAGCTGCTTTTGAAGATGGAGGAAGGGAAACAAAAGCCAAGGAGTGTGGACAGTGCCTACGGACTGGTAAACTAAAGTGAAGGCTTCTCCCCAAGAACATCTAGTCAGGAACAAAGCCCTAGGGACACCCTGATTTTTGTCCAGTGAGATGTGTGAGACTTCAGGTCTGAAGAACAGAAAGATAATTGTTTGTTGTTTAATCTGCTAAGTGTGTGGTCACTGGGTACCAGCAACAGGCGAAACAGTGTCTGTGGCAGGATGGAGAAACAGCAGGGAATATAACTTGGCTGGAAAATGAAGATGTAGTCAGGGAGGCAGTGGGGGATGAAGAGCAGATCCAGGGTCTCTAAAAGTCACTTAAAGCAGTTGTAACGTTAATACAAATAAGAAGCCACAAAGGCTTTTAAGCTGAGGAATGGCAATCTGACTTATGTTTCCTAAGGATCACTTTGGCTGCTATGAGGAAAAGAGATGTCAGGGTGGGAAGAGGGGCTGGGGGAGCAGGACAACCAGCAGGAAGGAGGTTGTAAGAATCCAGGAAACAGGTTTGGCCGTTTATGCCAGGGCAATGGAGTTGGGTAATGGACAGAAGTAAAACAGATGGGAGGGTCGCATACGAGGATTCATGGTTGCTTGGTTCTTACCTGAATTCCCTTCTTTTTGAGTTGCTGTCTCCATGATCCAGAGCTTTTCTTCTCTTTGGAAGTGAAAAGTATCTTGGTAGGAAAGTTGATGCCCTGTGAACAGTCAGATGCTTAATCCCAATACATCTTAGGTAAAATTTACTAGAAATTTAGGTTCTCACTGCACACTCAAACTTGAAAACTGATATGGTTTGGCTGTGTCCCCACCCAAATCTCATCTTGAATTGTATTTCCCATAATCCCCACATGTCATAACAGGGACCTGGTGGGATGTAGCTGAATCATAGGGGCCGTTTCCTTCATGCTGTTCTCATGAGAGTGGGTGAGTTCTCACGAGATCTGATGGTTTTATAAGGGGCCTTTCCCCCTTTGCTCAGCACTTCTTCCTGTTGCACTGTGAAAAAGGTGCCTTTCTTCCCCTTGGCTTTCCACCACGACTGTAAGTTTCCTGAGGCCTCCCCAGCCATGCGGAACTGTGAGTCAATGAAACGTCTTTTCTTTTTTTATTTTATTTATTTATTTATTTATTTTTGAGATGGAGTCTCGTTCTGTCACCCAGGCTGGAGTGCAGTGGTGCTATCCCAGCTCACTGCAACCTCCGCCTCCTGGGTCCAAGCTATTCTTCTGCCTTAGCCTCCTGAGTAGCTGGGATTACAGGCAAGTGCCACCATACCCGGCTAATTTTTGTATTTTTAGTAGAGATGGGGTTTCATCATATTGGCCAGGCTGGTCTCGAACTCCTGACCTAGTGATCCACCTGCCTCAGCCTCCCAAAGTGCTGGGATTACAGGCGTGAGCCACCGCACCCAGCCTGTCTTTTCTTTATAAATTACCCAGTCTCTAGTATTTCTTCCTAGCAGTGTAAGAACAAACTAATACAAACACCCTAGGGTACAAAGCCATTCCTGGGGCCTGACATTCCATTACAGAGGGTGCCTGTGCTCACCCACTGAGAGCAGGTTCCTGAAGTTCTCCAGCATCACATCTCGGTACAGTTTCTTCTGGGCAGGGTCCAGCAGCCCCAGCTCCTCCTCAGTGAACACCACAGCTACATCCTTAAAGGTTACTGCCTCCTACAACATCAAACATATATAATCCCAATGTCATGACCAGTGATTCTTGGGAGAGCGGTGGCACTGAGCAGGTGAAGGGGATGAGTGAGAAGTTGCTGTGGATCTTGAGAGATGTAGGTCAACTTACAGATTTCCCATTCATTCTGTCTGTATCCTGGCAATGACACACACTGATTTTCCGGAGCTCCACCAGAAGTCCAATGATGAAAAAGTCCTATAGGTTTACTTTGTGCACTTACTGAGTCTCCTTGCAAGTAACCCTCTAGGACTCTAAATGCAGCATCCTGGGCTACGCATATATAGGTTTCAATGAATCATGCCAGTTGCCCCAGTAACATTTAGCAATTCAGTCCCAACCTTGTTTGATAATGCCCATTGTTCTCTCTCATACTTTTTTTTTTTTTTTTTTTTTTTTTGAGACGGAGTCTCGCTCTGTCGCCCAGGCTGGAGTGCAGTGGCCAGATCTCAGCTCACTGCAAGCTCCGCCTCCCAGGTTCACGCCATTCTCCTGCCTCAGCCTCCCAAGTAGCTGGGACTACAGGCGCCTGCCACCTCGCCCGGCTAGTTTTTTGTACTTTTTAGTAGAGACGGGGTTTCACCGTATTAACCAGGATGGTCTCGATCTCCTGACCTCGTGATCCGCCCGTCTCGGCCTCCCAAAGTGCTGGGATTACAGGCTTGAGCCACCGCGCCCGGCCTCTCTCTCATACTTGAACCCTGGATATAATCATTTTTCTTTTTTTTTTTCCTAATTTTTATTTTTTGAGATGGAGTCTTGCTCTGTCGCCCAGACTGGAGTACAGTGGCGCTATCCCAGCTCACTGCAACCTCCGCCTCCTGAGTTCAAGCAATTCTCCTGCCTCAGCCTCTCGAATAGCTGGGATTACAGGCGCCCACCACCATGCCCGGCTAATTTTTGTATTTTTAGTAGAGACGGGGTTTCACCATGTTGGCCAGGCTGGTCATGAACTCCTGACCTTAGGCGATCTGCCCACCTCAGCCTCCCAAAGTGCGGGGATTACAGGCGTGAGCCACCGCACCCGGCCCATGTTTTTCAGTATCTGCCAAACTAACAAGTTTATGGTTATCTGTGTGGGACAGCTATGGAGTGGGTCCTCTGTATTCAAGCCACAAACTACATATATTAATTGCAGCATTGAATGTCATGATCTAGAGCCAGTGTGCCTATGATCACACTGAGCGTGTGTGCTCCCTCACAAGGCTCAATCCCAAGGCTCTGTGCCTTTGCCTGCCCAGCCACGGGACCTTGGATAACTTTGCCTGCATGCATTCGTTTCCTTTCTGTATAAAGAGTGTCACATCAGTTTTCGGCCGGGCGCGGTGGCTCAAGCCTGTAATCCCAGCACTTTGGGAGGCCGAGGCGGGTGGATCACGAGGTCAGGAGATCGAGACCATCCTGGCTAACATGGTGAAACCCCGTCTCTACTAAAAATACAAAAAACTAGCCGGGCGTGGTGGCGGGCGCCTGTAGTCCCAGCTACTCGGAGGCTGAGGCGGGAGAATGGCGTGAACCCGGGAGGTGGAGCTTGCAGTGAGCCGAGATCGCGCCACTGCACTCCAGCCTGTGCCACACAGCGAGACTCCGTCTCAAAAAAAAAAAAAAAAAGAGTGTCACATCAGTTTTCTCCAGGAATAAACAAGAGAATATAAATGGGGAAAGTCTCTGGCACAGACTAGGTATTTAATTAACATTAGTTGATTTTATTACCTTTTTTTCTTTTTTTTTTTGAGACGGAGTTTCGTTCTTGTTGCCCAGGCTGGAATGCAGTGGTGCAAACTCAGCTCATGGCAACCTCTGCCTCCCCGGTTCAAGCAATTCTCCTGCCTCAGCCTTCTGAGTGGCTGGGATTACAGGCATGCACCACTATGCCCAGCTAGTTTTGTATTTTTAGTAGAGACAGGGTTTATCCATGTTGGTCAGGCTGGTCTCAAACTCCCGACCTCAGATGATCTGCCCGCCTCGGTCCCCCAAAGTGCTAGGAAAAAAAAAGTGAGCCACCACACCCGGCTGGTAATGTCCTTTATTCATATTTCTTTGGATTTTTTATTATAACTTTCATTATAGTTATCTATTTCATTTCAAGTCAGTATAGTATTACAGGGAACTGATGATCTATCATTATCTATTCTAAATAATGAATATTTAATTTTATGTCATTTTCATTATTACCAATCCTGCAAAGAAAATCGTGTTATGTGGACCTTACTCTCCTGTCTGATTATTGAAAATAATTTTGGCCAGGTATGGTAGCTCATGCCTGTAATCTCAGTACTTTCAGAGGCTGAGACAAGCAAATCATTTGAGCTCTGGAGTTCGAGACCAGCCTTGGCAACATAGCAAAATTCTGTCTCTACAAAATATACAAAAATTAGCTGGGCATGGTGGCACGTGACTATAATCCCAGACACTTGGGAGGTTGAGACAGAAGAATCATTTGAACCCAGGAGGTGGAGGTTGCAGTGAGCCAAGATTGCCTCACTGCACTCCAGCCTGGGCAACAGAGCAAGACTCTGTTTCTAAAAAGAAATAACATAAAATAATAAATAAATTAATTTAATTAAATAAAATAATTTCAAACCAGGTGCAGTGATTCACACCTGTAATCCCAGTGCTTTAAGAGGCTAAGGTGGGGGGATTGCTTGAATTCAAGAGTTCAAGACCAGCCTAGGCAACAGAGCAAGACACCGTCTTTATAAATTTTAAAAACTAGCCAGTCATGGTGATGCGTGCCTGTAATCCTAGCTACTTGGGAGGCTGAGGCAAGGAGATCTGGACCCCAGGGGTTCAAGGCTGCAGTGTACTACACTTACATCACTGTACTCTATCCTGGGCAACAGAGCAAAACTCTGTCTCTAAAAGAATAAGAATAAACTAAAATAAAATAATTTCAAATGAAAATTACAGTGTCAAAAAATAAGAATGTTCAAAATTGCGATCATGTATGTCAGATCCCAATTTTTTGTCAAACTCCAAAATCTTTCAAGGGGATACATTACCCTGGTTTTTCTTAAAATAGCCAAAGGCAGATTATCAAATTTCCTGTGATGTTGATAATCTCATTAGAGAGAATAATTCACCTTATTAATCCCATGTATTTGATTATAAATAATACTATCACCTTTTCAAACATGTACTAGCCACTTCTATTTCTTCTCTAAAATTTACCAATTAATGTACTGTCCTTTATTCATATTCCTTTGATTTTTTTTTTCTCCATTTTGTACATAAGATTCTTATTCTGGAGTGTGTGCTTTTTAGATATCAAAGTGGTAAATATTTTCACCTTAGGCTGTTATATTTCCTGGTAACACTCTGTAAGCCATCTTTGCCATTAGGAATGTAAAGATTTTCTATAATGAGTGTAGCAATCACTGTCCTTTGGTGCCTGGAGTACTAGGTGCACCTGAGGAGGTGACACAACAGGAAGAGAAGAGGTCCCCTGAGGAGAGGTCAGGGAGGAGCTATGTAACCAACGGTTGTCATCACTCAAGAGGGCACTCCAGACACCCATACCAGAAGGCACAGGTCCTTCAATAGAGAATCTTCTTTCTTCTCTCTCTCTTTCAATTTAGCAAAATAGCTAACATGCCAACCCTGGGTTTCCTCTCTGAACCTCAGTAGGTTTCTCATATTTCACATATTTAAGAGGAAGATGAGGCTGAGAATTGCATCATTCAGCTGTTCTGAGGAACAAACAAAGGAACAGAACACAGTGACTAGAGAATCTTCTGATATCATGGACATTTGAAACTAAAGTTACCGATCATTTTGGTCAAACTCCTTAACACATAAAGGAATAAGAAAAGACCAGTAAATAAAATACACACAATGCATGACTTAAGCATGGGGAAAACAAAAGCTAGCTCTTCCTATGTGAAAATCTCCAAAAATTCTTCTGTGAAGCCACAGTTACAGCCTGCTGTGCTGTGCCACATGTGGATATTTTATCTACCAAACAGCCAACATGGCACATGTCAAAAGTACCCTTTCAAAACTGAGCTCCTGGCCGGGCGTGGTGGCTCAAGCCTGTAATCCCAGCACTTTGGGAGGCCGAGACGGGCAGATCACGAGGTCAGGAGATCGAGACCATCCTGGCTGACACGGTGAAACCCCGTCTCTACTAAAAAATATGAAAACTTAGCCGGGCGAGGTGGCGGGCGCCTGTAGTCCCAGCTACTTGGGAGGCTGAGGCAGGAGAATGGCGTAAACCCGGGAGGTGGAGCTTGCAGTGAGCTGAGATCTGGCCACTGCACTCCAGCCTGGGCGACAGAGCGAGACTCCGTCTCAAAAAAAAAAAAAAAAACAAAAAAAACAAAACTGAGCTCCTAGTGCCTGAGTATAAAGTAGTTAAAAAGAAACATTGGTGGGTGCGGTGGCTCACATCTGTAATCCCAGCATTTTGGGAGGCTGAGGCGGGCAGATCACTTGAGGCCAGGAGTTCGAGACCAGCCTGGCCAACATGGTAAAACCTCGTCTCTACTAAAAATACAAATATTAGCCAAGCGTAGTGATAGGCGCCTGTAATCCCAGCTACTCAAGAGGCCGAGGCAGGAGAATTGCTTGAACCCAGGAGGTGGAGGTTGCAGTGAGCCAAGACTGTGCCACTGCACTCCAGCCTGGGTGACAAAGCAAGATTCCATCTTGAGGAAAAAAAAAAAAAAGAAGCATCAATGCAATGGGAACATGATGCAACCATAAATAATGAACATTACATAATATTAAACAAAAAGAACACAGTTTAAATTAGATAAGTATCAATACAAATACAGTTATGAATATACATGAGGAATAGCATGAGAAAATAAAAACCCCTAATTAGTGAGAAGAGATGCAGTGAAATGGGAGAATTTCTACTCATAACACAAATAATGGTAAAAGTAAACAAAACCAAAACCAAATGCAAATTGAACACGAAAGAAACAAGCAAGCACTTGGCACACAGCAGGTGCACAAATAACTGTTGTTCTCCTTGAGTCTTCCCAAGACTGAGAAAAACACGTGACAATCTTAAGTAGCGAAACAGAATTTGAACAGCAAAAGAGACCAGACTTGCTCACCTTGAACATGGTCATTTTTCCTCCTCTGGGGAATTTGCAGAGTTCTCAGTTATGCAGTTCAAGGGAAGACAGAATTGTGCCTGGAACGTGCCATGCAAGGCAATAAAAGAGACATGAAGAGGTGGTCAGGGATGCCGCCCAACAACATGAACATGTATTGTGAATTAGCACTTGAATGTTCACAGCAGCATTATTCATAATAACCGCAAATTGCACACAACAAAAATGCCCTCCTACGGGTAAATGGACAGACAAATGTGGCCTATCCATACAATGAAATCTTACTTGGAAATTTAAAGAAATGAAGTACTGACTCATGCTATAACATGCATGAACCCTGGAAACATGTTAAACAAAAGACACAAAAAGTCACAAAAAGCCATGGATTGTATGATCGCATTTATGTGAAATCTTCAGAATAGGCAAATGTATAATAGAGAAAGTAGATTCGTGGTTGCTTCACATTTGAGGTAAGAATGAGGTTTAACTGTACATAGGCACAAGGAGTCCAAACGTGAGATGAAAATGATCTAAACTGAATCATGATGATGGTTATTCCACTTCACAAAATTCCTAAAAATCATTGAATTCTATGCCTGAAATGGATGAAAGCTATATGTGAAATATATCTTGACAGAATTGGAAAAAATAATTGTTAATCTGCATGTCACTGAAATCAGTAAGAATGAATTCTGGGTCCATATCTATAGAATATTTATAGGTGAATGAAGGAATAAATAAATGGGGGAGAAATGGATACTCATCTTCACAGTAGAATGTCCACTAATAATGTATCTCCCCATAAGAAACTTTATTATTTTCAAAATTTAAAAAAAGTAACTTCACAGTGGACAAATCTGAAAGACTTCATCTTGGCCAAGTGAACAAAAGTGAGATCACTAGTGAAGATGAAGGGGTGGCCTGCCCCTCCACACCTGTGGGCGTTTCTTGTTAGCTAGAAGAAGAGACTTGAGAAAAGAAATGAGACAGAGAAAGTCTATACAGAGACAAAGTATAGAGAAAGAAAAAGTGGGCCCAGGGGACCGGCGCTCAGCATACGGAGGATCCACACTAGCACCGGTCTCTGAGTTCCCTCAGTATTTATTGATCATTATCTTTACCATCTTAGAAAAAGGGAAGTGGCAGGATAATAGGATCATCTAGGGAGGTCAGCAGTAAGACATATGAATAAAGATCTCTGTGACATGAATAAGTTTAAGGAAAAGTGCTGTGCCTTGATATGCCTATACAAACATCTCCATAAACTTTTTAGTGCATAAGGAGCAGGCATTGTCCCTAGCACATCCCACCTTGTGCCCTAAGGCGGTCTTCTCCCATCTTAGTAAATAGAACATACAATCGGATTTTACACCGAGATGTTCCATTGCCCAGGGATGGGCAGGAGACAGATGCTTTTCTCTATCTCAACTGCCAAGAGGCCTTCTTTCCTCTTATATTAATCCTCCTCAGCACAGACCCTTCACGGGTGTCAGGCTAGGGGACGATTAGGTCTTTCCCTTCCCACAAGGCCATATTTCAGACTATCACATGGGGAGAAACCTTGAACAATATCTAGCTTTCCTAGGCAGAGGTCCCTGCGACCTTTGGCAGTGTACATGTCCCTGGGTACTTGAGATTAAGAGAAGGGTGATGACTTTTCACAAGCATACTGCCTTCAGGTGCTTGTTCAACAAAGCACACTCTGCACAGCCCAAAATCCGTTAAACCTTGAGTCACCACAGCACATGTCTCTTGCAAGGACAAAGTTGGGGGTAGGGTCACAGATTAACAGCATCTCAAATACAGAACAAAATGGAGTCTCTTATGTCTACTTCTTTCTATATAGACATAGTAACAGTCTGATCTCTCTTTTCCCCACAGAAGGGACAAACCAACATCATTTGGACACTGTTATGTTGCAATGAAAAGGACACCTCACTACTACTATGGTATCCCTACCAACCATGCATAATCTAAACCTAAACATGAAATTTATCAGATAAACCCCAAATGAATGTCTTTCTATAAAACAACTGCCTATACTCTTCAAAAAACCATGCATGTAAAAGACAAAGGCTGTGGAATCCTTCTAGATTAAAGAAAAGTATAGAAATGTGACAATAAAGACAATGCATAAAATTCAACTTTGAATGGGGTTGCAGGTAAAAAGTGGGATAGTTATAAGGACCAAAATTTAAAAACTGAACAAATTTAAATATAGAAGCTGCAGATTAGATAACAATGTTATGTAATATGGTATCCAACACTATCTAATAAATAACACTACAACTACTATTAGTAGCTTTTTAACAGATCTATCTGATATGTAATAGATAACAATATTATTTAATATAATATTTAATTATTTTTTTGCCACAGAGTCTCACTCTGTCATCCAGACCAGAGTGCAGGGGCGCCATCTCAGCTCACTGTAGCCTCTGCCTCCCAGGTTCAAATGATTCTCATGCATCAGCCTCCCTAATAGCTGGGATTACAGGCGTACACCACCTCAAATTTTAAAAAAGTAACTTCACAGTGGACAAATCAGCTAATTTTTGTATTTTTAGTAGAGATGGGGTTTCTCAATGTTGGCCAGGCTGGTCTCAAACTCCTGGCCTTAAGTGATCCACTTGCCTCGGCCTCCCAAAGTACTGGGATTACAGACATGAGCCACCATGCCTAGCTAGTATAATATCTAATAGTATCTAGCATGTTATGTGAAACCCTATAACCAGCCCTTCCTAAACACCTCTTACCAAGACACCCCACAATTATCTTGAAATGTGGGCTTCCTTGCTGCAGAAAGCTACAAGCAACTGTCTGGCTACAGGTATGTTCCTGGTGGTATCTGGCTGATGAGCAACAACAAAGCAAACAGGAAAAATGTAAACACTTGGCAAATTTGGGTAAAGAGTATATGAGAATTTCTAATACTATTTTTGCAACTTTTCTATAGGTTTCAAATGATATTAAAATAAAGTGTTAAAAATTTTTTTTTTTTTTGAGAAGGGTGTTTCACTCTTGTTTCCCAGGCTGGAGTATAATGGTGCGAGCTGAGCTCACCACAACCTCCACCTTCCGGGTTCAAGTGATTCTCCTGCCTCAGCCTCCCAAGTAGCTGGGATTACAGGCATGCGCCACCATGCCTGGCTAATTTTGTATTTTCAGTAGAGATGGGGTTTCTCCATGTTGGTCAGGCTGCTCTCAAACTCCCGACCTCAGGTGATTCGCCCATCTCGGCCTCCCAAAGTGCTGGGATTGCAAGCGTGAGGCACCACGCCTGGCCAATATCAGGAAACATTTACAAAAAAATTAGATAACAATGAGATAAATTAGGATGAGCATGATATAACATGGCAGTTCACTAGTTAATTTCCCTTTTGGCAGTGTTTCCAAATTTCCACAGTTAAACACATAAGGGAAAACATATTTTTAAAATTATAACATTTTCTTTAAATGTTTATAAATAAATATGCAAATATACCAAAAGAAAGACTAAAAAGAAATGCATTCGAAGTTTAACAGTTACTATCTTTACATGTTGTATTCATGGGTAATTATAAACTTGTACTACTCATATTTCTGCAATTTCTGAACGCTCCACAATGATACCGTTGCATAACAAGTGAAATACTTGTAACAAATGAAATAGTTGTAATGAATGAAATAGTTGACAAACTCCCAGAACAGTCCAAGCCCATAAGCCTTGCTCTCGAGGTCCCTTCAATCAAGTCCTAACTTGCTTTCCCCACCAGATTCCAGCCAGTTCCTCTGCCTCAATGAGAATGTATCCAAAAGATTATCAACTAAGGCTCTGACCTGTAATGCCCAGGTTTCAACCGCAGATCCACCTCTTACTACTTAGGTGACTACGCGCAGATAACTCCTGCTCCTTTGTATCTGACTCATCTTTAAAACGGAAAAAAGTAGTACCTCTCCACAGAGCCATGGTGTGGCGAAAATTTGATTATTTTTATAAAGCCCTTGGAATAAAGTTACCAATTGAGGCTTAATTATTATCACCACCCATGCCTGAGGACACATCCTACACTCTTGGTTGGGGTGAGCATCTCTGTAAAAGAAAAAAAGCCAAGGACCACTCACGTAGAGCTTTGGTAGCCAAGAAGTCCCTCCCTGCAGGTCTTTTTGAGAATCACGCTGGGGAAGGAGAAAGCTGTGAAACACCCTGATCGCGTTGCCGGCCCGCATAAAAGTTAAATGTTCCTCTCCCTTCGTGGAAGTGGACACAACCCTCGCCTTCCTAAAAACAGGTCAGAAGCGTCCGGGATCACCCAGCGTCCTGCAGGAATCAGAGACAAGGGCGGGGATCCCTGTAGCTGGAGCTCTGACCCCACCCGGGGACCTGACAGGCTTCGTGGGAAATTAACACTAAGAAGAGACCACCAGTCACTAAAGGAAGGACTGCTTTAAGGCTTTCATTTGTGTTACCTCTTCCAGTTTCCAAAACGATTTCATTAGGATGGTCCTAAAGTCCCCATTTTAAAGAACAGCAGTGGGAGGTACAGGGAGGTTAATAACATCCCAACCCTAAACTGTGAGAAAGTAGCCTCACAGGTGGGATGGAGGGAGGTGGGCTGAGCGAGCTGAGAGCCCCCAAAACCCTCAAACCAGGCGGCGTCCCGACCAAGTCCCAACCCCCAGCCTCATCTCCGGGGACGCGAGGACAACCCCAAGACCAAGAAGGCTCCGCGGACAAGAACGAAAAGAGCGGCTGTTGCACCTTCAAACCTCCGTTTTCCAACGAGGCTCCTTCTCCTCTTAGTCAACTTCCAGGTGGTTGCGAGCCCGCATCGTAAGGGGACATGTTGAGAAGGACCGACAAGACACACAACTGACACAAAACTACCACCGAAATGCACGGCTGCAACCTCACCCCCCGGGAGCGGAAGTGCCCCCTACCCGGCGCAGCGTGTGGACTACATTTCCCAGAATTCCCCGGATACGCCGCCCTGCGCCAACTTGCCCGTCATTCGACGGATCGCCGGCGCTACACTTCCTTGAATGCCAAAGGAGACGTTCGATAGTATCACCCTCCAGCGGGAAACCTGGAACTCCGCGGTGCTCTTTGACTAGACTTCCCGCAATGCCCACGAGGAATGAATTCCATATACCCGAGCGCCTGGTGAGGAATATGGACTGTGACCCTGAGAGTGGTCCTTCCCTTTCCCTGCGTCCACGAGAGAAAATACTGAATAGACAGGAATTCCTGAAGTCTACACGCCTGCCATGATGACAGGAGTGTTACTGAAAGAGAACAAAGCAAGGAGATACAATCTTCAAGCAAGGAGATACAATCTTCAAGGAGTTAGCGGTCAGGAGATGGCTGAAAGGCTAATATACTAGACGCTAACAGTATGAGCTAAATCTAAGAGCTTAAATAATGGGCCAGGAAAAAATGGTTTGGGACAGGCAATTCCTGGGGCACCAGCCCCTGCTCCAGACACTGTTGTACCACTGCTTTGGCAAGAAAAACAACCACAGTTTAAGTGTTTATGAGGGCTGTAAGAATTAAAGAAAGAGAAAAGAAACACGAAAAGCGGCTCAACAGTCAAAGACAGGCTCGTTTTGGAGAATAAACCTGAGAGGGGCTTCTGGCCGATTGCCGTCAGGAGCACAGTCTCTTACAGACTAAGAGTATTGACTTTAGGATGAGAGAGCTTATCACAGGCTTAGAATGTTTCTGTGTTGGGGAGAAGTCTGTTGTGGGGTTGGAATATCTCTGGTTGGAGGGGAGGTTATCTTGGGACTGACATCTCTCCAGTGGAAGGGAGGTTATCTCAGGGCTGGCATGTCTCTGGTCAGGGAGGGGTTTATCTTATGGTTGGAATGTTTCTTGTTGGAGATGTCATTTATGGTTTATGGTCATGCCTACCTTAGCCATTAGGCTGATGCCCTTTGGATTTAGGCAGTTTTTGATCAAGGTGAACTTTAAAATGGCAGTGATTGTCCAAGATGGCAATGCTCCTGCCCTGTCAAGAGCCAATATGGAGGGCCAATTGCCCTCCTGGAAAACCTATTTTCCCACTTTAAAGTTTTCATATTAATATTCTTTAGACGTGAAAACGCCACATTCCAGAGAAATTAAACTGCTTAGTATTGTGAAAGGAAAATATCTTGGGCCCCCAAAATCACTAAGGAAACCTCAAGCTGGAAATAGCTTAGGGCAAACCTGCCTCCCATTCTATTCAAAGTCACTCTTCTATCTGTCCTTGCTACTAGGTCCCTTCCATGACATGTGGGAATTATAGGAGCTATAATTCAAGATGAGATTTGGGTGGAGACACAGCCAAACCATATCAATGTGTGTAGATTTCTTATTTTCCATTATTACTTAAAAGAAAGCTTGTTTCTAACTCTTCTATGGTCATGTAACAACATATCCTAGAAATCACTTCATGTACAGTACATTCTTTTTAGCACTGCGTAAACTAGAAAATCCAGAAATAAATTTCTACACCTACAGTGAACTCATTTTCAACAAAGGTGCTAAGTATATATATTGGGAAAAGGACAGTCTCTTCAATAAATGGTGCCAGAAAAACATGATATCCACATATAGAAGAATGAAACTTCACCCCATTGTTCACCATATACACAGATAAAATCAAAATGGATTAAAGACTTAAATCTAAGACCTCGAACTATGAAACTACTACAAGAAAACATTGGGGAAATGCTCCAGGACATTAGTCTGGGCAAAGATTTCTTGAGTAATACCCCAAAAGCATAGATAACCAAAGCAAAAATGGACAAATGGGATCACATCAAGTTAAAAAGCTTCTGCATAGCAAAGGAAACAATCAACAAAGTGAAGAGACAACCCACACAATAGGAGAAAATATTTGCAAACTATACATCTGACAAGGGATTAATAACCAGAATGTAAGGAGCTCAAACAACCCAATAGGAAAAAATTTAATAATTCAATTTAAAAATGAGCAAAAGATCTGAATAGACATTTCTCAAAAGAGGGCATACAAACGGCAAACAGGTATATGAAAAGGTGCTCTACATCATAGATCATCAGATAAATGCAAATCAAAACTACCGTGAGATATCATCTCACCCCAGTTAAAATGGCTTTTATTCAAAAGACAGACAATATCAAATGTTGGTGAGGATGTGAAAGGAGGGAGGGAATCCTTGCACATTGTTGGTGGGAATGTAAATTAGTACAACCACTGCGGAGAACAGTATGGCGGTTCCTCAAAAAATTAAAACTGAAACTACCATACAGTCCAGCAATCCCACTGGGTATGTACACAAAAGGAAGGAAATCAGCATATCAAAATGATATCTGCACCCTCCCCTGCAATGTTTATTACAGCACTATTCACAATAACCAAAATTTGGAAGCAACCTAACTGTCCTTCAACAGATGAATGGATACAGGAAATGGACATATACACAATGGAGCCACAATTCAGCCACAAAAATGATGAGATTTTGTTATTTGCAACAATATGGATGGAACTGGAGGACATTATGTTCAGTGAAATAAGCCAGGCACAGAAAGGCAAACTTCACATGTTCTCACTTATTTGTAGGAGCTAAAAACTAAAACAATTGAATGCATGGAGACAGAGAGCAGAATGTTAGTTACCAGAGGGAGGGAAAGGTAAGGTTAGTGGTGAGGGAAGTGGGGATGGTTAGTGGGTACTAAAATATACTTAGATAGAATGAATAAGATCTAGTATTTGATAGCACAACAGAGTTACTACAGTCAACAATAATTTATTGTACATTTAAAATAACTAAATGAGTATGGATTGTTTCTAACACACAAAAATGATAAATGCTTGTAACAGATACCCCATTTACCCTGATGTGATTATTATGCATTGTATGCCTATATCACATACTCTATATGTGTACCCATAAAAATTAGAAATTTTTTAGGCTGGGTGCAGTGGCTCATGACTGTAATCCCAGCACTTTGGGAGGTTGAGGTGGGCAGATCACTTGAGTACAGGAGTTTGAGACCAGCCTGGGCAACATGGAGGAACCTCATCTCTACAAAAAAATACAAAAATTAACCAGAGGCAATGGCACGTGCCTGTAGTCTCAGCTACTCAAGAGGCTGAGGTGGAAGGATGGTTTGAGCCCAGGAGGCCACCACATCCAGCTAGTTGTATTTTTAGTAAAGACAGGGTTTTACCATGTTGGCCAGGCTGGTCTTGAACTCCTGGCCTCAAGTAAACTGCCCACCTCAGCCTCCCAAAGTGCTGGGATTATAGGCATGAGACACTGCGCCCAGCCCTTTGCCCATTTTTTTAACTGGGTAGTTTCTGTTATTGAGTTGTAAGAATTCTTTATATAATTTGGATAGAACTCATGCTGTATGGTCTTTTCATGTTCTTGACAATGTTCATGTATGCATAGCATTTTTTAAAACTTAGGTCCCATTTTTGTATTTTTATTTGCTTTTGCTCATGTTGTTTCATTGAAGAATCCATTCCAAATAAAAAGGAAGATTTACTTCTATGTTTTCTTCTACGTTTACAGTTTAGCTATTACATTAGGTCATTGATGAATTTTGAGTTAACTTTTAAGTGTAGTGTGAGATACAATCTAACTTCATTATGTTGTGTGTCTGTGTATAGGTGTCCCAGCAGTATTGGTTGAAGACTATTCTGTCTCCATAAAGTAATCTTGGATCCTTCTTGAAAATCAAGGGGCCTTAGATGCATGGGTTTCTTTATGGATTCTCAATTCTATTCCATTTATCTATATGACTGCCTCCTGGGTTCAAGTGATCCTCCCACCTCAGCCTCTCCAGTAGTCTCCAGCTGGGACTACAGACATACACCACCACAACTGGCTAATTATTGTATTTCTTGTAGAGGTGGGGTTTCTGATGTTCACTGAGAAATCTAAAACTAATGCATACAATTATAAAATAGAAAAATTCCAGCAAATATTCATTGAAGAAAATAAGAATATAATTGTAACACATTATGTATGTACACTCAAAAAAAAAAAAATTCCAGAAAAACAGATATGCTTGTCCAGAAATACACAAAGGTATTTATTTAATTTTTTTTTTTTTTTTTTGAGACAGGGTCTCACTCTGTTGCCCTGGCTGGAGTGCAGTAGCACTATCATAGGTCACTACAACCTCAATCTTCCAGACTCAAGCGATGTAAGGATGCAGCAAAAATACAAAGACACGTGGCTGACATTCTAGGGGTCATCAATTTCAACATATTCATTAGTGTTTTGAAAGTGTGTGAATAAACTCTTATACTAAGGCCTGTCTCCTGAATAATAACTAATTGTCAAACTTCTGTTTGAAACCCTGCAGCACGACTTACAAGCATTCTCTGCTATGACAGTCCCATGACCACTGGGTTATGCTGAGCTATGGCTGAAACACTAACTTTAAACAAATGTTTTACTTCCCATAAGACCAGATGAAAACTATCAGCAGCATTGATTCTGTGATAAATGACAAGATATGAACTCACACTTACCACATGCCTCTTATTTTTAATGTTTCTCTCCTTTGTGAACTCTCACATGAGACTGTAGTGAGACTGAGTAGAGGCTTTATCACACACATCACACTACTAAGGTTTCTTTCCAGTGTGGACACTGATGAAGTTGAAGAGTTAAAGTCTGAATGAAGCACATACCATTCTGCCACACTTCCATGGTTTCTCTCCTATGTGAAGCCTCTGAGGCCTAATATTTCCAGTGATGTAGCAATCACACTACTGGGTATATCCAAAGGAAAGGAAATCAGTATGCCGAGGAGATATCTGCACTCCCATGTTCACTGCAGCACTACTCACAATAGCCAAGATACGGAACCCACCTAAGTGTCCATCAATAGATGAAGAAAAGGTGGCGCATATATACACACACACACACACACACACACACACACACAATGAAATACTCTTTAGATATAACAAAGAAACAATTGTGTCACTTGTGGCAACATGGATGAGCTTTGGAGGACATTATGTTAAACAATATAACCCAAGCAAAGAAAGATAAATACCAACTGTCCTTACTCACATGTGGAAGCTAAAAAAAAGCTGATTTCATAGAAGTAGTGAGAACAATGGCTCTAGAGGCAGGGAAGGGTGGGGGATAGGTGGGATGGCCAAAGGTTGGCTAAAGGATACAAAAGTACAGGTAGATAGGAGGAAGTTCTACTGTTCTGCAGCACTAAAGGTGACTATCATCAACAACGATGTATTTTCAAATTGCTAGAACAATGAATTTTTAATTTTCCCAACACAAAGAAGAGATCATTGTTTGAGGTGATAAATATGCTAATTACACTGATTTGATCATTATACATCATATACGTATATTTAAATATCAAATTTTCCCCCTTAAATATGTACAACACTTACGTGTCATTTAAAAATAATGATAAAATTATATCAAGATTCAAGCGCCTCTTGTAGCGCTTCCCACAGTCCTCACATTTGGATGGATTTTCTCCACTGTGGTCTCTTGGTTGGTCTTTACGGTATGACCGGTGTACAAGCTTCTTTCCACAGTCCTCACATTTGAATGGTTTTTTCTGGCAGTGGAGTCTCTTATGATTCAAAATACTTGAGGCCTGTCTAAAGCTCTTCCCACAGTCATCACAGTTATAAGGTCTCTCTCCTGTGTGCGCTCTATGGTGCAAGTCAAGACCTGACTTAGTAATGTAGCTCTTCCCACACTTGTCACATTTGTATGGCTTTTCTCCAGTGTGGACTCGCTGATGGATCAAAAGATATGAGGACCGTCTGAAGCTCTTCCCACATTCTTTACAATTATATGGTTTCTCTCCTGTGTGGATCGTCTGATGCTTACACAAATCCAGCCTACCGATGAAGCCTTTTCCATATTCCCCAGTGTTGTTTGGTTTCTTTCCTGTGTGGACCACACAATGCCTATTAAGACTTGACCTAAGACGGAAGCTCATACTACATATCTCACATTTGAATGGCTTCTCCCCTGTGTGAATTCTCTGATGTTTCTGAAGCTGGAAATCATGAATGAAAGCCCTCCCACATGCCTCACAATTATAATGTTTCTCTCCCATGTGTAATTTGCAATGAACTGTAAGTGCTGATCTACATCTGAAGCCTCTCCCACATTGTTCACATTTGAAAGGTTTCTCTCCAGTGTGGACTCTCTGATGAGTTTGCAGATGTAAACTCTGACTGAATTCCTTACCACACACGTCACACTTAAAGAGTTTCTCTCCCAGGTGGACTCTCTGATGAATATGAAGTGCTGAGATGTAACAGAAGCTTTTTCCACACTCATCACGGGAATGAGACTTCTCTGCTGAGTGTATTTGCTGAGGAAGATCAAAGATGGAAACATCACTGAAGGATTGTTTACACTTCCCACGATTGGAAGGTTTCTGTCCTGTATGCATTATAGATAGTCCTTCCTCAACCTGGGAGTGGGCATCACCCTGTTCAAAGAACTGAGAGCTATTTATGGTAGAGTCTTGAGGCCTGGTTAAATCACTTGCAATTTCTTCCCAGATCTGCTGGCAGGACAACTCTTCATGTGGTCCTGCTTCTGGAACAGTCTTCATCTCAGGTTGGATCTTGCCTCCTATCAGAATACAAAATTAAGAGATCAGGACAAGCTATGCCCTGTTCAGTGTTTTTAAGAGTTCACACTTAGGACATGGTATGAAACTTCAATGAACATTCAGTTTTTGTTTTCCAAGTGCACCCTGGTTTCTGGTTTGCATGAGAGCAATCTAAAACCATACCATGCTGCCGGGCACAGTGGCTCACACCCATAATCCCAGCACTTTGGGAGGCTGAGGCACTTTGGGAGGTTGAGGCCTGCGAATCACTTGAGGTCAGGAGTTCAGGACCAGCCTGACCAACATAGTGAAACCCTGTCTCTACTAAAAATATAAAAATCAGCCAGGTGTAGTGGAACACACCTATAATCCCAGATACTTGGGAGACTGAGGCAAGAGAATTGCTTGAACCCAGGAGGCACAGGTTGCAGTGAGCCGAGATTGTGCCACTACACTCCAGCCTGGGCGACAGAGTGAGACTCTGTCTCAAAACAAGAAGGAAAGGAAAGGAAAAGAAAAGGAAAAGGAAAAGGAAAAGGAGAAAGAAAGAATGATACCACATCTCAAATATAAAATCCTTGATAGAAATAAAAAATTAATATGACACATACATTTAACCTGTTACTATTAAAATTTCCAACTCAGTCTGAAATCTTACATGATAAATTACTAAACTATTATGTACATAATGAAATATGAATCAAAAGGAACTCTAAGGGAAAGCAGTAACATAATAAATACTTTGTATATTTACCTGTATATTGTATTTCCTTATAAAGAAGTTAACCTTCCTTTTTGTATGAGGTGGCTTAAAAAACATTTTTAAAAATAAGAAAAGAAGTTAACCTAACTAAAAAGAGGTTGGGACTTTGTCCTCAGTATCTGAGAGATAATCTGTAGGATCTTGAAGGGGCATGCCTGAGGAAAGTGTGTCTGTTTGCTTGGGGCCAAATCTTGGGTAACTCTTGATAGTGAAATAATATAATTTAGGGTTGTGACTGGCCACAGCTTTGGGGGATGGGAAATGGCAGGTGGAATTCCCCATATCAGAAAAAATAACAATGTGATTTAACGTGGGGCTTTAGGTCACAGGGAACCAGTGGACCAAAAGACTAAATAACCACAAAAGAATCAACCAACCAATTATGGCTGTGTAATGGAGCCCCAATAATTACTCTGATCCCAGCACTCAGTTGACTTTCCCTGATTGGTAGTTCCCTGTGTCTAAGTCACATGCTAATTTTGGGTATGTAACATGCCCTACTCTACTGTGAGAATACAATAGGAGATCCACATTTGGTGCTTCACTGGACTCTGTCTTACTTGGTTTTCCCCACTGGCTAACTATAATATGCATATTTTCCCTGTAAATGTCAGTAACTGTGAGAATAAATGCATCCAGTGAGTTCTGAGAGTCTTTCTAGGAAATTATTGAAAGTGAAGGTAGTTTTGAAAAACTCCTGAATTTGCACTTGGAGTGAAGTGAGAGCAGTTCTCTGTAAAATGTCCCATTAAACTTTTTAGTTTAACCCTTCATGATACTGAACATCAAACACCTTAGAGTGTTTATATCTACAAATCGAAAGTATTCCTATGCAAGAATTTTGCACGACACGTATAAAATACTTAATCTTACTTTTCTGTTTTGATATGGACAGTAACTTAGTTATCTGAAAGAGTATAGACAACTGCAGTTCTGAGGGGAATCTGAAAGGCTGTCCTTCCAGGGGTCCACAAAGGAGGATGCTCTTGATCAGACAATCAATGATGTGAAGAATCACTTGGAATGAAAAGAAAGCCTATAATGTAGATAAACAGGCCTTTATAACTTTTTATATTCAAGACTACATATCAGTGAGCTGAAATAAAGTTAAAACCTGCAATAGACATTTATAGAAAGGAACCAGAATGAAAATTATCACAGCGTGGAGACAAGCAGGAAAGGTATCGTTAATGAAATGTCAGCTAGTCACTCACATACATCTACACGCATGAAAAATGTCCAGGTTATACTGAAAGAGGTGTTTCTTACTATGGTTCATGCTCACAAAATGTTCAAACCTTTGTCAGGATATTACCAAGTCCTGAATCAGGTAAATTTTTCTGATGGAGAGTTAAGTTCCAAAGGTTGAATCTTGGAAAATATTAACAGGTAAGTGGATACCTATCGGTGTACAGTGGTGACAAAGAAGGGCTGGGCTCCTGGCCAAACTCCACCCTTAAGCCTAGAACCTCGGCCCTAAGTGGAAACAGATGACCCCATTTTTCTGCCCAAATGTTGCTTTTTTGGCCTGCCTGCCACTATCCTGTGCCCATAAAAGATTTCAGCTGGCAGAGCAACACAAGCAGCTGACTGACAAGGATACAAGTTGCTGAGCAGTAAGCAGAGAAGCAACTGAGTGTTGGAAACTATAGATAGATCTGGCTAACTTCAGAAGGTGTGGCTTTGGAGAGCGGTCTAGCCACAAATGGCCTGGTTTCAGAAACAGATCACTTTCCCATCCCCTTTCCAGCCTCCTTTTCTGCTGAGAGCCACCTACTGCTCCATAAAGTCTTCTTTATTCATTACCTTTCACACAGTTCGTGTGACCCGGTTCTTCCTGGATGCTGGACAAGAACCCAGCTGCCAAGAGGGCAGGGGCAGCTACTCTGAAGCTCCACTGAGCTGGCTGGCACTTGGCCATCCCCAGATGGCAGAGCTGAAACAGCATGGGTTGTAACATGCTTGGACACTGCTGTGGGGCATGCACAGAGCCTGCTCCCACCAGAGAGGAGCGACCAGCCAATTCCAGCATTCATTTGCTCCAGTTCTGGCACTCGCTCACTTGCATGCTCTCTCCCGCAAGGAGTGGACAGCGGAGGGCTGAGTGAAACAAACCCTGCAGTTTCCGCCCACAAAGACGGTCAAGGGAATAATCCTCTCATCAGTACACGGATATATTTAATACACTGTGACTTATAAATAAGAGGTCTTTAAGGAGAAGGGAAGGTCTCTCAGGATGTTTCTATTTTAAGAAAGTAATTCCCCAATTCCTTCCAGGTCATACCGCTTACCAGTTCAAAATATAGCACTAAATCTATAAAAATAAACAAAAAGCCTGTAAAATCTGTGTCCTTTTAACTTTTTGACAATTAAATTTGCATCATGTAAAGATGAGGAAATATACACATTTTTGAAGAAAGATGACCAGAAACAGAGTCAACATTCAGCTACATAACTTGCGTCCTCTCATCCTCATTCTTCCCCCTCTAAGGGAAGGAAGGAGGAACCTGGGGGCAGTGAAGTGCAGACCGACTTTGGAAAAGGCAAATGGGCTGCAAATGGGTAAATCTTTCAAAGGAAATGTAGCTGGAAATCCTCATTCAAACAGACTTTCTTCCCAGATATAAATGTGCTCCCTATGGAAAGCTCCAGGGTAGGTCCCAGGGAAGGCATATTACTCAGAGTGGTCATGAAAAAAAATGCTATGCTTAGAAGTTTCCACAGGACATGGGTTAACTGCACACACATAAAACCAGTCATGTCAAGGAAACCTAAGAAAGTTGAAAATGGATAAGCAGTCATCCACAGAGAAAAAAAAAAAAACTGTTCTGCAATATATAATCAGCCCTCCATATCCATGGGTTTGGCACCCATGGATTCAACCAACAGTGCTTAAAAATTATTCAGGGAAAAAAATTTCAGTTCCAAAGAGCAAAACTGGAATTTCTCACAAACTAAGTCCTATGTTGAATCCTTGTGAATGAAGTGACAGGTAGGCATTGCATTTGGTATTATAACTGGTCCAAACATGATTTAAAGTATATGGGAGGATGTACCTAGGTTATAGGCAAATACTCCACATATATCAGGAACTTGAACATCTCTGGCTTTCGGTATCCATGTGGGGTCCTGAAATCAAATCCCTATGGCTTCCAAGGGACTAATATATTTCATTCACTCTGGTTCATGTATTACTTATTAGCTAGCTCCATGATTCCTACAGACAGTGAAGTCCCCCCATCCATTAATTCATTCATCAGGATACCAGATATTTATAGATCCCTCCATGTACTAGAACTATTCTAGGCACTGAAAATGCAGTCATAAACAAACAGATAAACACCTTGTAGAGATTATATTTGAAAGGGAATAGGTGATCTACCAGTAAACAAAAGCATATGATACACAATACTTGCAGGCCAAGTAAAGATAGGATGGTATTTTCAATAGGGTGCTTGAAGATGACCTCTCCCATGATAGTAAAACTCAGCAGAGACCTGCATAAACTAAGGGAGGGGGTCAGTAAGTTTTGTGGGGACAGAGGATTCCAGTCAGAGACAAAAGCAAGTGAGGGCTCTGTGGCAGAAGCTTCTGTAGTAGGGAACATAATTGTTCCTGAAAGATGTCTACATCCAACCTTCAGGACCTATGAATCTGAAACATTACACAGCAAGGCAGATTAAGGCTGCAGATGTCATTGAGGTCACTAATCAGATAAGCAGAAAGTAGGAAAGTCAACTTGGATCATGCAGGAGTGATGAATACAATCACAAGGGACCTGAAAGGTGGAAGACATAGGCATAAGAAGAGTGGCAGAGGGAGCGTGACTCTGGAAGAATGGTCAAGGATGCAATGTAGCTGCCTTCAAAGATGGAGGAATGGAAACCAGAGCCAAGGAATGTGGACAGTGTCTAGGGACTGGTAAAACAAACGAAGACTTCTCTCCGTGAACATCCAGAAAGGAACAAAGCCCTAAGACAGCTTGATTTTTGTCCAGTGAGATATGTTACACTTCAGGCCTAAAGAAAAGAGAAATAATAAATGCTTCTTATTTAATCATCTAAGTTCATGGTCATTGGGTACCAGCAACAGGTGATACAGTGTACTTGGCAGGATGGAGAAACAAGAGGGATGACAAGGTGGCCAGAAAAGATAGAGAAAGAGGGAGAGTATGGGAGATGTAGTGAAGAGGCAGTGAAGAATGAAGAGTAGACCACAGGGGTTTCTAGAAGCCACTTAAAGAGGCTTTCCTAAAAATAAGAAGCCAGAATGGCTCTTAAGCTGAGGAATGACAATCTGACATCCAGGTCCTAAGGATCACTTTAGCCGCCATGAGGAGAACAGATGTCAGGGTGGGAAGGCACGGAGCAGGGCCACCAGCTGGAAGGAGGTTATAATAATCCAGGAAAGATGTTTGGCCGTTTAGAACAAGGTGATGCAGCTGAACACGCACAGAAGTAAAACAGATGGAAGTCACAAACAAGGACACACAGTTGCTTGCTTCTTACCTGAATTCCCTTCTCTTTGGGTTGCTATATCCATCATCCAAAACTTTTCCTCCCTTAGAAAGTAGAAAGTATCTCGGTGGAATGGTTGATGCCCTGTAAACAGGCAAAGTCACATGCTTAATCCCAACATATTCTAGATAATATCAGGGTAACACTTACTGGAAATTTAGGTTCCCACTGCACACTTAAACTTGAACACCCTAGGATACAAAACCACTCCTGGGACCTGACATTCCCTTATAGAAGATGCCTGTCCTCACCCACTGACAGCAGGTTCCTGAAGTTCTCCAGCATCACATCTCGATACAGCTTCCTCTGGGCAAGGTCCAGCAGCCCCAGCTCCTCCTCAGTGAAGACCACAGCCACATCCTTGAAGGTCACTGCCTCCTACAGCATCAAACATATGCAACCTCAATCTCACAACCAATGGTTACTGGGAGAGAAGCAACATTGAGGAGGTCAAGGGAAAAAATGGAAAGCTTTTCTGGATCTTCAGAGATATAGGTCAACTTACAGAATTCCCATTCATTCTAGTCTGTGTCCTGACAATGACACACATTGATTGTCCCAAGCGTCATCAGAAGTCCAACGATGGAGAAGTGCTGTGGTCTTATTTAGTGAACTCATTGAGTTTACTGGTATGTAGCCCCCCTAGGAGTCTAAATGCTGCATCCTGGGCTACAGGTATATAGGTTTCGATGAACCTTGCTAATAGTCCCAGCAACAGTGAGCAATTCAGTCAGTATCTGCCCAACCTGGCAGCCAGTTGATGAGGCTGTGGCTGTGAAACCCCAATCTCAGTATTCCCAATAATTATTTTTCCTTTTCCCCTTTATAGTGCACATCCTGTTGGTAGTTTGTGGTTCAGATCACCACAGTAACCAACAAAGGTCCTCCTGACTCTAATCTGGAGGTGATGCTTCCCTGAACATCCCCTGACTTCTACAGGATCCCACAGTGGTGAAGAATGAGACCACAGAACACTGTAGGGGGTATCAGGGTCCTTCTGATGGTACTGGGGACACCTGATCCTTCCATTTGGGTGGCTGGCACTATCAGGCATATCTTTTTGTACAGGACGTGACCTCCTTCCTGACTGAACAACTCAGGCAGGAAGGTTTTGGCCAAAAAACCAGGGGAATGGATGTCTACAGTGGTAGTAGCCTCAGGACAGGGACAGACAGACTGGGTCGCTACACCACCTCAGCCCGCCCCCTATCCAACAGCTATTAATCTGCTGTTTCCCCAAGGGTGTGGCAGCAGAGGCCTGGAAGCACAGCACATTCCTTAAGTTATCTCAAGCTGCAGTCACCTTATGTCACCTGGCTAAGTGTTCCATCTGCTACCCTGGATTTATTCTATCACCAACCACAGTGACCCTCTCATCCTGACCATGGTAAACCACACCAGCATCCCTCATGCCACAGTGCACACCAACAGCTCCATAACCCTGGCTTGTCAAGTCAGGACCTGGCACCTGCCACATGAGAGAGAGCTGGAGGGCCCAGTGGTAACTGGTGTAAGGCAACAGAATCACACAACCTCAACAAAGCTACAGTGGACTGTGCTTGCTCACACCATGTTCCTTTGACTACCTGGATGAGAAATGTTCCATATAATGAAAACCAGAACTGGATGAGTGGCATTCCTCTCTGTAAGGGCCGCATGAACGTCATACGTGGGGAACTGACCTTATGCAACTGTGCCAAAAAATGAGCTCTGGCTGGCAAAAGATAATGTCCCCATTCCCACAAATGGGTCACAGAACAGCCAAACAAGGGCATGGGTGTTGTGTGCACCTGAGCCTTATGGCTTTCTCTGTGGATGGTTTGGAGGGTGACCCAGATACAGGGTGGCTATGTCATGCCTGGAAAGCTGGTAGACTGTTAGATCCTAAACATTGGGCATGCCGGGGGTGCCCCTAGATCTCACCCTGGGAGCGAGATGTACCACTGGGCAAGAAGGCTAAAGCTGTGCCCCAGGCTGCCTGGAGTTGTAGCTAGCTTCCAGATTTATGTTCTACACCTACAAGTCAATTCCCATGAAAAATGGTGAGACACCTGTCACAGACAATGGTCGACAGATACTGCTTCTTCCACAGCCACTGCCTCGGGAGCCCAGCAACATCCCTTCACTCCCTCAGGAAGGTTCAAAAAACACAAGTGCTCTGTGCTTTTAGCCCTACTGGGAGGAGTGGGTCTGCGACTGCCAACACCTCTGGTCTTCTCTGGATACATAGCTACTGTAAAAACTCAATGAGAGGCAACCCAGAAGCAGGCCCACTGGCTTCAGACACTGGGGCCATCTGAATGATTCTTCTTTGGTATCTTCAGCAGCTTCTTATTTTGATAACTGGGACCCAGGCAGGATTGCTACTTCAGGAAGGTCTGGCCGTGCTGCTTGTGGTCATGCTCCTCTGGGGTCCACGGAATGTATTCCAGCTATAATTCCATGAAGTTGGCAGAGATTGTGTCAGTCAAGGTATTACACTGATCTAACAAGATCAACCAACACCTCCAGGCCTAGGGAGGTCGATGGGCACATGAAATGGACCAGTTGGCTAAGGGGGATATCTAGGTCAGGGGATGGACTGCAGGACAGTTGTAGGCAAACATGTCCGAGGTCACATGGTTAGAAATGGGCAGACTCAGTTCTCTCCCCTTTCTTCCTTGCAGTTCTCAAGAATAACTGTAGGTTATTCTAGGAATGCAGTATTATGGGGAGGAATTAACTGCCTTTGACAGTCTAGGCTTTGTTCCTCTCTCACCTGGAAGCAGGATGTCCTTCAAGTTTTTCTCCATGAGTCATGGCACCCTGAAGTATATAAACAAGGGCAGGTTACCTTCTGGGGTGTCTCAGCTCTGGTGCAAGTGGGGCACATACAGTCAAGATTCCATCTGCTCAAGGTAGCTTTCTTGAGCCCTGGATGGCCGGCTCACAGTGGACCCCAGGCTTCTGGGCTCCCTTATTGCCAATCTGTAGTCATAAATCTGCTTCATGTAATCTGTTACATGTGAGTGTGTTCTGTCCCACAGGACTCACACGAGTTGGTAAACAGTGCACAGTGAACCTGCTCCATGGTACTTGGTGTGAGACAGCTATGTAGTGTGTCTTCTGCACTTGCAAGGCACAAACCACATATGCTTATTGCAGCATTTAGTGTCCTGATCAAAAGCCAGTGTGCCTCAGTACACATCCTAAGAGTCTGCCCTTTTCTAACCATGTGACCTTGGACATGTTTGCCTACAAGCCTTGCTCCCTCTGCGAATAATAGTTCTTATATGACAGAGTTTCAAGAATTAAGAAAGGAAATATACAGTATTTTGAAAAGTCTATGGCACAGACTAAGTATTTAATGAACACTAGCTAGTATTACTTATTACTGTTTATTACCATTATCTATTTCAGGGTTCCACAGTATTCCAGGGAACTGATTATCTATTTTTAGCTACACTAAAGAATAAATATTTTTACATATTTTCCATTATCAATCCTGTAAAGATAATATAATAAGTAGTAAGATGTAAGAACATCTAACTCTCCTGTCTCATTTAAAATAATTTCTTGTGAAAATTAAAATGTGAAAAATAACCACATTTAATATTATCATCATATAATTGCATACTTTCGTCTCACTTTTTTCCCTACCTCTCCAATCATTCAACAGAATTCGATACCCTAATTCTCCTTATCATGGCCAAGGGTAGTTTATAAATATTCCCATGGTTTTGGTAATCTGATTAGGAAGAACAATTCATTGTATTATTCTCACTTATTATTATAAATGAATACCATCACTTTTGCCATCTCTATTTCTTCTTTTACAATTGCCTTTTAGTGTTCTTTGTTCCAATCTGTTTGAACTATTTTCTTTATCCTTTTAGAAGATTCTTACTCTGGATTTATTCTTCCTTAACTATCCAAGGGGTAAATATCTTTGCCCCAGGTTGTCATTTTTTTCCGGTAACAATGCGTGAGGCGGGCTGGGCGCAGTGGCTCACGCCTGTAAGCCCAACACTTTGGGAGGCCGAGGCGGGTGGATCACGAGGTCAGGAGATCAAGACCATCCTAGCTAACACGGTGAAACCCTGTCTCTACTAAAAATACAAAAAAAATTTAGCTGGGCGTGGTGGTGGGTGCCTGTCATCCCAGTTACTCGGGAGGCTGAGGCAGAAGAATGCCGCGAACCCGGGAGGCAGAGCTTGCAGTGAGCTGAGATCACGCCACTGAACTCCAGCCTGGGCAACAGAGTGAGACTCTGTCTCAAAAACAAAACAAAACAAAACAAAAAAACAATGTGTGAGGCATCTTGTGCCATAAGAAGGAGTTTGGAGATTTTTAAGAACACCTGTGGTAATCACTGTCCTTGGGTACTTGGAACGATGAATACACCTGAGTAGATGCCAGGAAAAGAAGAAGTCACACCAACGCAGGACAAAGAGAAGCAGCGCCACCTGTGGATGTCATCACTCAAGGGAGCACTCCAGACACTCACACAACAGGGCACCACACCCTCAATGGAGAATTTTTCTCTTTCACTTGAGCAGAATGGCTAAGATTCCTGATCCTTGATTGCCTCCGTGATTTTTTGCAGGTTTCTCATATTTCATGAGTTTAGGAGAAGAGAACAGGAACCTCCTCAGTCTGCTGCTCTGAGAAGTAAATGAGTGACAGTACACAAGTGACTGGCCAATCTTCAGTATTACTAGACTTTTTTTTTTTTTTTTTTTGAGATAGAGTTTCACCCTTGTTGCCCAGGCTGGAGTGCAATGGCCCAATCTCAGCTCACCACAACCTCTGCCTCCTGGTTTGAAGTGATTCTCCTGCTTCAGCCTACCGAGTAGCTGGGATTATAGGCACGCACCACCACGCTCAGCTAATTTTGTATTTTTAGTAGACTCGGGGTTTCTCCATGTTGGTCAGACTGGTCTCGAACTCCCAACCTCAGGTGATCTGCCTGCCTCAGCCTCCCAAAGTGCTGGGATTATAGGCGTGAGCCACCACACCCGGCCCAGTATTACTAGACATTTTAAATGAAGGCTTTCTGGCTGAGTGCGGTGGCTCATGCCTGTAATCCCAGCACTTTCAGAGGCCGAGGCGGGCAGATCACTTGAGGTCAGAAGTTCGAGACCAGCCTCACCAACACGATAAAAACCCCATCTCTACTAATAATACAAAAATTAGCCAGGCGACAAGAGATCATCAAAGTCCTGTTGTTCTCCTTGAGTCTTCCCAGGACGGAGAAAAACACAGAACAATCTGAGTAGTAAGATGGAATTTTAACAGTAAGAGAGGAAAGCCCTACTCACCTTGGACGTGGTCATTTTTCCTCCTACTTTAGGGAATTTGCAGAGTCCTGAATGATGCAGTTCAAGGGAAAGCAGAATTGTGCCTGGAAAGTGCCATGAAGACAGAAAAAGAGACATGAAAGGGTGGTCAGGGATGTCACCCACCAACAAGGACTCATAGTTTCAATTAGCACATGAATGCTCACAGCAGCATTATTCATACTAACCCCAAATTGCACACAACCAAGAAGCTCTCCTATGGGTAAATGGATAGAAAAATTGTGGCATATTCACACAATGGAATCTTACTCGGAAATGTAAAGGAATGAAACAATGAGCCATGCAGCAACACCCGTGAACCTTGAAAACATTACAGTAAGTGAAAGAAGCAAGTCACAAAGACCCACAGACCCTACAATTCCATCTACATGAAATGTCTGGAATAGACAAATATATATAGAAAGTAGGTTAGTAGTTGTTCTAAAGTTGAGGTGAGAATGAGGTTTAAAGTAAATGGGCATGAGTTCAACTGGGGGATGAAAGTGATCTCGGCTGAATTATGATGATGATTACTCCACATCAAAGTTCCTAAAGATCACTGACTTGTACACCTGAAATGGGTGAATGCTACGACTAAAATAAACCTAGAGTTAAATAACTGTTAATGCACATATTATTAGAATCAATAAGACTGGATTCTGAGTCCATATTGATAGAATATTTATAGTTGAACACATCAGTGAACCAATAGAGGAGAAATGGAAGCTCTTCTTTACAAGAAAATGCCCACTAATAATGTGTTTTCCCATAAGAAGCTTCATAATTTAAAAAAAAGTAACATAAGAGTGGACAAATCTGAAAGACATCTTCTTGGCCAGTGACAAAGCTGAGATCACCAATGAAGGGACAAACGAACATCACTTGGACCTTGTTATGTTACAATGAAAAGGGCATCTTAATTCACCATTGTACTCCAGCCGGGGTGACAAGAGCGAAACTCTGTCTCAAAAAAAAGAAAAAGATTAAAAAAAGAAAAAAAAGAAAAGAGAAGGGCATCTCAGCACTCCTGTGGAATCCCCACCAACAATGTATAATCTGAACCTAAATGTGAAATATATCTGTGGGGGAAAGAAAGAGAGATCAGGCTGTTACTGTGTCTACGTAGAAAAAGGAAGACATAAGAAACTCCATTTTCATCTGTACTAAGAAAAATTCTTCTGCCTTGAGATGCTATTAATCTGCAACCCTAACCCCAACCCTGTGCTCGCAGAAACATGAGCTGTATTGACTCAAGGTTTAATGGATTTAGGGTTCTGCAGGGTGTGCTTTGGTAAAAATGTGTTTGCAGGCAGTATGCTCGGTAAAAGTCATTGCCATTCTCCAGTCTCGAGTAACCAGGAACACAATACACTGCGGAAGCCCACAGGGACCTCTGTGCAAGAAAGCCTGGGCATTGTCCAAGGTTTCCCCACACTGAGACAGCCTGAGATATGGCCTCGTGGGAAGGGAAAGACCTGACTGTCCCCCAGCCCGACGCCCATAAAGAGTCTGTGCTGAGGAGGATTAGTGAAAGAGGAAGGCCTCTTTGCAGTTGAGATAAGAGGAAGGCATCTGTCTCCTGCTCGTCCCTGGGAATGGAATGTCTTGGTGTAAAACCTGATCATACATTCTATTTACTGAGATAGGAGAAAACTGCTTTATGGCTGGAGGTGAGACATGCTGGCAGCAATACTGCTCTTTACTGCACTGAGATGTTTGTGTAAAGTCACACATAAATCAGGCACAGCACCTTTCCTTAAACTTATTTATGACACAGAGTCCTTTGCTCACATGTTTTCCTGCTGACCCTCTCCCCACCATTACCCTATAGTCCTGCCACATCCCCCTCGCCAAAATCATAGAGATTGTGATCAATAAATACTGAGGAAACTCAGAAACCAATGCCAGTGCAGGTCCTTACTTGCTGAGCGCCAGTCCCTAGGGCCCACTTTTCTTCCTCTATACTTTGTCTCTGTGTCTTATTTCTTTTCTCAGTCTCTCGTCTCCACCTTGCGATAAATACCCACAGGTGTGGAGAGGCACGCCCCCTTCAATATCAAACTCCAAATGAACAACTATGGAAATGTGACAGCTAAAGACAACGCATAAACTGGACTTTGAATAGGTGAAGGGTGGGGAGAGGACAGTCATAAGGACTTTAAATGAAAAATTTAACAAATTCATATAGGGAACTGCAGATTAGATAACATGATGCTAGGCAATATGCTATCCAACACTATCTAGTAAGTACACTACAAATACTAGTATTCTTTTAACACATCTATCTGATACGTAATCGGTAACAGTATTATTTAATATAATATCCAATATTATCTACCATGGTATGTGAAGCCCTATAACCAGCCCTTCCTAAATGCCTCTTACCAAGACACCCCACAATTACCATGGTATGTGGGCTTCCTTGCTGCAGAAAGCTACCAATCAGCAGTCTCTGGTTACAGGTATTTTCCCGGTGGTATCAAAGCAAACAGGAAAAATGTAAACATTTGGCAAATTTGGGTAAAGAGTATATGAGAATTTCTCATACTGTTTTTGCAATTTTTCTATAGCTTTGAAATGATATCAAACGTTTTAAAATATCAGGAAACAAGAGACCACCACTCACCAAGTAACAGGGACAACTTTAAGGCTTTCATTTGTATTATCTCTTTCAATTCGCAAAACAATGTTAGGATGATCCTATATGCACCATTTTAAAGAACAGCAATGGGAAGTACAGAGACATTAAGTAACATTCCACATCACACTGCGAGAAAGAGGCTGCATACGTAGGGAGGCGGACTGAGCGAGGTCAAAGCCCTGGAAACCCTCAGAGCAGGGCACACAGGGCCCCCCTACACCCACCCCCGGGGACGCCGGCACAGCCCCCCGACGCCAGAAGGCTCCACTGACGGGAACAATAAACACCCCGCCCTCGCACCTCTAAACCTCTGCTCTTCGCCAAGGCTTCTTTTCCCCTGAGACGATCATCGATCATCAGGTGGTTGCGAGCCTCAGGCAAAAGGGGCTCGTTCAAAATGTCCTGCAAGACGCCGGTCATTAAAGCAAGAATCTCAGGCTCGGAGACCGGAAGTGTCCTCTGCGCCAGAGTGTCTGGACTCCACTTCCCAGAATTCCCCAGACCCGCCCGCCTGAGCCAAAGGGCCAGAGACTCCGCAGAGCATCTGGACTATCCTTCCCAGAATTCACCGGACCACCTGCCAGAGCCAAAATGCCCGGTGTTTCACCAGCCAGTGGACTGCACTTCCCATAAAATGGACTACAATTCCCAGAAGTCCCCGGAAATGCCTACCTGAGCTAAAGTACCAGGAATCCCGCAAGGTGTCTAGATTGCAGGGCCTCGGATGCAAAAGGAAAATGTCCATCATCTCACCCTTTAGGCGCAAGTGTTTCGACTACATGGTGCTCCTCGACTACACTTCCCGCAACACCTAGGGGGAATGAGTTTCATAGCCCCAGGCGCCTGGTGGGGAATGTAGACTGTTACCCTGACAGTTGTCCTTCCCAGAGTTCTCGAGCGAAAATATTGAATAAACAAGAATTTGGGAAGTCTAAATGTCTCCCATGATTGACAGGAGTGTTCTTGGACAGGGAACAAGCGAGGAGATACAATATTCAAGGAGCTAGCGGGAGTGACTGTTGAGCAATCAGATGGCTGAAAGGAGGCTCAGGGTTTAAAGCAAGGATATCCAACTCCAGGGCCACAGACCTGTACCGTTTCACAGCCTGTTAGGCATCGGGCGGCACAGCAGGAAGTGAGCGGCAGGTGAGGGAGCATTATGGCCTGAGCTCCACCTCCTGTGAGATCAGCCCAGCATTACATTCTCATAGGAGCATGAAACCTATTGTGAACTGTGCGTGGGAAGGATGTAGGTTAGGCGCTCCTTACGAAAATCTAATGCCTGAAGTGGAACAGTTTCATCCCGAAACCATTCCTGGTGGAAAACTTGTCTTCCACAAAACTGGTCCATAGTGCTAAAATGGTTGGGGACCACTGGTTTAAAGAATGAGCCAGGTACAATGGGTTGGGAGGGACAATGAGAAGCCAGGAAAGCATCAGCCCCTGTAACTGAAAAGTAGATTAGTGGCTTCCCGTTTGCAAAGTCCAGTTAACAAGAGGGAGATCTGGTATAAAGAAAGTTATTTAATCCAGAGCTAGTGTAGGGTAGGAAGCACAGGTATTGTCTTTAAGTGTACTGCTTGGCTTTTAGAGCAGAAGGCAGGCACTTTTAAAAGGTAGGGGAGGAAGAGGGCAGGGGTCTGTGTGCTGGCTTGGTGCCTTATCTATTAGGCAGTTGAGTTGGGTTTTTCATGGGCAGAAACAAATTGTAACCAGAAGAGAGAGAGTAGCAGGCATGCTTTCAACTGTTGTCTCTTCAGGCAACCTCCTGGTGGGTGAGAGTTCAAAGGCCAGCATGCTTTAGTTTATAAATTGACTGTTAATTCTAGAGGAGAGTTCTGGCTTGGAGCACATAGTTAGATGAACTTGCCCTGTAGGAAGTGTCTGGTGAAGGGGAGGTAAAAGTCTGTATTTGCATTTTTTAAAGGGCTACGTAGGAAGTGAGAAACTAAGGAAATGAGAAAAGAGAAAGAAATAAATAAGCCGTCTCTTAGAAAAAATGGTGGTTCTCAGTTACACCCCTAGTCCAGATGCTGTGGTACCACTGGTTTAGCAAGAAAAACAAAATTCCAGCCATCAATGGAGAAGCTGTGTCCTCATGGAAAAGCTATCTTCCCACGTTTAACATTCTCATGGCAGTAATATTTCTACTTTAGATGTAGAAACACTAAATTTCAGAGAAGTTAGTGAATTGCTAAGTATCTTAAAGCAAGTATAACTGTTGAAGAGCTTGGCACTGGTATCAATCTGACACCCAATGTCTATGATTCAATGCCATAAAACTGGAGAAGATTCTGTAGGTGAGGGAGCATGATTTATTATTAAGAGTTTCCTGTCGGGCATGGTGGCTCACGCCTGTAATCCCAGCACTTTGGGAGGCTGAGGTAGGTGGATCACCTGACGTCAGGAGTTTGAGACCAGCCT